CGCAGCTGCCCCCCCCCCAGTGCACACGGACATCGGGTGTGGAGAGGGGCAGGGACCCTGGTGCCTGACTCCAAACCAAGAGTGGCCTGCCTCGCCTGGAACCTTCCAGATCCCCCTGCATAGGCCTGGCAGCAGGGCTCCTCCCTCGCAGGCCCTCATGGTCCCTTTGCTGGCCCCCAGACTTGTTCCTGCTGGAGTTGACCCTCCCTTGGTACTGGGCCCGCCCTCTGACTGCAGGCTCTGGGCCCCAGGTTATGGGTGGGCCCCAGGTTATGGGTGCGCCCCGGTGGAAGCTGAGCAGCAACAGGGGCCCCAGGGGAGGGTCTGCAGCAGACACAGCCAGGCTGTGCTTCTGAGAGGCAGTAGCTCTGAGGGTCAGACCCAGGGGTCATGGTGGGGCCTCGGGGCCTGGGAGCTCAGGCAGCTGTGACTGGTTTTCTGGCAGCAAATGTACATCACGTACGTGAGGAACTGCAAGTTCACCTCCCCCAGCACCCTGCCCCTCATCAGCTTCATGCAGCGGACGCTGACTGAGCTGCTGGCGCTGGACACCAGCGTCGCCTACCAGCACGCCTTCCTGTACGTCCGCCAGCTCGCCATCCACCTGCGCAACGCCATGACCATGCGCAAGAAGGTGTGTGGCCGGGCTGGGGCAGGGTCCTTGTTGTGGGGTCGGGAGGGGCACAACTTGCTGGGGCCTGTATGCACGGTGCGGAGGAGGGGCTGGGCCCTGGGGACCCTGTTGACTGGGGGGCTCCCTGCAGGAGACACACCAATCCGTGTACAACTGGCAGTTCATGCACTGCCTGCAGCTGTGGTGCCGCGTCCTCAGCACCATCTGCCCCAGCGACACCCTCCAGCCCTTGATCTACCCCCTCGCCCAGGTCGTGCTCGGCTGCATCAAGTGAGTCCGAGAGTGCGGGGACCCCGAGGCCTAGAGGGCAGGGCAGGGGCAGGGGCAGTACACAGAGGCTTCCTGCAAGGGTCCTCTTCCAGGTGGCCAGGCCTCTAGGGAAGGTCTGCGGTCTGTGACTCGGCGACACCCGGGGAAGGGCTGGGCTAGAGCTGTCGGCGGCCTGTACCCTGTTTGGGGGGACCCCCCAGGCTCGGGCAGCTGGGCTTCTGGGTGGCTTGTGCTGTGAGTGCCTCCCTAGCATCTCTGTCTGAGGATGCAGCAGTGTGCATTCTGGGAGAGGGCCATGTGCAGTTTGAAGGGGATTGGGTTTATTTGCACGGGGTTCTTGGACAGGGCAAGTGGGGTCTGGTGTGTGCAATCCTGGGTGTGAATGTTGGGTGTGGGTCTCAGCAGAGAATGGAGGAGCTGTGCATGGCCTGGTGGCTGTTGGCCAGGAGGGGGCAGCCCTGTCCTCCTGAAGGAGAGTTGAAAGCTGGGATGAAAGGCTTGAGTGAATGATCCCTATAAACACATTAAAAAGAAACAAAGTTAAACCTGGTTGGGTGTCCCCTCAGCCCCAAAGCTGAGCAAGGAGGCAAGTCCTGAGGGCCTGTGTCCTGCCCTGTTCTGTCAGGGATCCGGTGGGGCAGGTGTGGCCAGTGACCCTGAGAGGGTGATAGGTCCTTGCTGCGGTGGGGGCTCTATGGGAAGAGTGGGGGCAGTGCCAGGAGGGTGGGGCGGGCTTGTGGGATCCCTGGGGCTGGGCCTCGTCTCACTCCCATCCTCCTGCTCCTAGGCTGGTGCCTACCGCACGCTTCTACCCGCTGCGCATGCACTGCGTGCGCATCCTGACACTGCTCTCCGAGGGCACCGGCACCTTCATCCCTGTGCTGCCCTTCATCCTCGAGGTGAGTGGGGAGGTGAGCGGGCGGGGCCCTCACCTGCAGGGCACAGGTGCTGCAAGGGCATCCCCGGTCCTGCCCAGGCTGGTGGCATGTGTTGGCAAGAGCAGCAGTGAGGACAAGGAAGCTGCCTCGTGGGGTGGGTCTGAGGTTGCTGGTTTTAGGGCACAGACCTGGGTCAATCTGGGCATTTGCCCGAGATGAGCATGAGGGGGAGATCCAGGCTGGAATCTGCCCTCTGCACATCCCCGAGTGT